TTCTTGCAACACAAAGCCCCCCCCCCCCCCCACACACACACACACACAACGCGACGTACGGAAACCTCAATAAATCTGCCTCATTTGTACTATTTCTTCATCAAAGACTCTCAAAAATCAATTTTATGAATTAGAAATATATAACAAGGCAGCAAAGCTGTCATATGTACAGAAAAAAAGCAGAAAATAATAATTCACAAAATAGAATACTGTCAATTCTGATGCAATAATACATTATACTTAACTGCAAAGTCAACTTCAAAATTTAATTATGCACAACAGGTAATACCGATGAAAGTAAAAGCATAAGGTTTCAGGCACATGAGAGTTAAAGTACACACTTAGAAAATGCCAGATTGAGAAAAATGAAATTTTCACAAAAAAAATTGCATTAACCCAATAAAAGTGATAATCCAATAGTGCTGGTTTTCTCATTTGATCTGTATGTCAAGAAGAGTAAGTGTCATGATTTTTCTTTAATGGTCACTGTGAAGGCAGTGCCCAAATTGGGGTTTCTTTAAATTTGATGCAATATTACATAATGCATAACAGTATAATGACCATCAATTACTAATAATAAAGTAAATGTATCATGAGTATTCAGAAAATGTGACTAGCAAAGATTTTCATAGCCCATGGAAGGTAAAGTTACACCCTGAAAATGGCGTATGTGAAAAATTAAATTTTCACGAAAAAATGTATAACTTCCAGAAAAATTAACCAATATGACAGATATTTCAACTGAGGCTGTATTTAAGTCCCTTATTTTTTTTCTGCAATTGTGAGAAGAGTAAGTGGAATGGTTTTGCTTTAATGGTCACTATGGCAGCAGTGCCCAAAACAGGGTTTACTTCAATTTTGATGCAATATTACATAATGCTTAACAGTATAATGACCATCAATTTTAATAATAAAATTAAAGTATCATGGATATTCAGAAAATGTGACTAGCAAAAGTCTTCAAGTCCATGGAAGTTCAGAGTCAAACCTTGAAAATGCCAAAATGTAAACAAGAGAACTATACTGAAATAGGTTTATTTCCATTTTCAACACCTTTTTTCCTTAACACAAAATAATCGATTTACTGTTATTTTTAAATAATCAACTAAGAAAATTGTTGACATAGGAAAAATATCAATAAAACAATTTTAAATGTCCAATTTGTTCCATTCTGAGATTCTGAACATAGTGAATGATTGAATCTGACAAACTATAAAGATATTAGTTTATTTTCATTTTTGACACTTTATTACACAAAATACAATAACAGGTTTACCATCATTTTTATATAACCAACTAACAATATTGTTAAGATGCAGAAAATATCAAAAGAATACCTTTACATATCTAATTAGTTAAAAATGAGACTGTTAATATGCCTAAGAATTAAATCCGAGGAAAAAACACTTATTTACAAAAAAAAAGGTATACAGGTAACTTCACTAAAATTTAACCGATTAAGCTTATTTTCGAACTTAATCTGTATTTCTGTAAGACTGATAACTCCTGTGAATTTCAAGACAATTGGCCAATCGATTTTCCTTGAAATGTGTTATCGATGTTGCATATACGTGTATGCTGAAAAAAGTGAAAAAACAGCATAACTTTTATAAAAATGGCCCAATCATGCTGATTTTCGAACTTCACCTGCGTATTATGAATATTCATCAGTTTTGTTAGTTTCAAGCCAAAAGGTAAAACAGTTTTTCACTTATCGTGTTATCAGTGTTGCATATATGCTGAAAAAAGGGGAAAAATAGCATAACTTCCATAAAAACAGCCTGATCATGCTGATTTTCGAACTTGACCTGCGTATTATGAATATTCATCAGTTCTGTAATTTTCAAGCCTAAAGAAAAAACGGTTTTCCACTTATCCTGTTATCGGTAAAAGTGCACGGCGACCGCGACAACAGACGCAGGTGACGGCTATATGTACAGACACATCTGTGTCTGTTCATAAAAATGTATTTCAAGGCGTTTAAATGGAATACTTACTTCATTTTTGTATAGGGGCCAACTTGCCCCGACCCTCGCCACGTTTTTTTTTTTTTTTTTGTCAAATTGTGAGCCATCTGGCATTTTATTTGAAAAATAATGACGTTGTATACGTAGCTTAGTTCATGGGGCTTACTTTGAAACCGGTTTTGTTACTCTAACTCATTTCTAGTTGGCTCTACAGGGTCAAAAGAGTCTTACTGGGCCAACTACCCCCGGTCTGCCCTACCGATACTGTAAAACATATCTTTGCATTTCAAAAATGATCAATTAATGTTTATGTTGACATCTGTGTAAATGTGTTTGAACCACAAATAATGCTTCAAATTAAAAAGCCATTTCTTCACGTTCATCAATTAAGTAAAGAACGCCTTCTCTTGCTTTTATCAGTAATTCTTATCTTTAATGTTTGTTTTCCTGCATTTTCGGGAATTGTTAATGTCTCTTAAAGAGGACCAATTATAAAGTATATAAATAAAAGGGTTGCCCCTATGTTAAAATGTAATCAAACCGACTTTTCAATGCATAATCATATCAAACATGGCAGTTGAATTCATTTATATTGACCAAACAAACGATTATGAGAAAATATTTAAAATCAAATATACAGTGTTAATTATTAAATATGTTTATTAAAAAAACTAACATCACGGATAAAAGTTGAAAAAATTGGTACATATTAAGTACATATAACCAAGCAATAAAAAAGGCTTCTAAATAGTATCAGTAAACAATAGAGTGTAAATTATTCTCAATTCCAGGAAGCAAGTTCCTGTGTCCCTTGTGCCAGAAAGAGACAAAAATCCCTGAAGATGGAGTTGAAGGCTTCCTCCATAACTACTTAATTGACAGCCTCCAGGACACTGTGCTCACACTGACCAGGAAGAAGAAATGTGGTGCCTGTGCCGTAGAGGGCGAAGATGTTGAGGCAGTGTCCAAATGTCTCAACTGCAGTGAGTACCTCTGTAGCCCTTGTGCCAAGTCTCATATTCGTTTCAAAATCTCAGTGAATCACAAGGTCTACACCTTAGATCAGCTACATAGTGGGGAACACCAACAAGAGGTCCAGGAATTCCAGCGTGTTTTCTGTCCTGAACACAAAGAAGAACCTATCAGGTATTTCTGTCTCAAGTGCCAGATACCCATATGCCGTGACTGCAAGGCCCTCACTCACGATGAGCACAAGAGCACATCTCTGGATACTGCCATAGAAACAGTGAAGCCCAAACTGGCGTCCATGCTGGAGAAGTTAGACGACAAGATCAGCGTACAAGAAAACGAGTTAACCATCCTGCGGGGTGTGCTCAGGGACCACGATATCAATACCAGCTCTGTGATGAAGGACATCTCAGACCACAGTCGCCATCTTCAGCAACAGATTCAGCAGCAGGAGAAAAAGCTTCTCCAAGAAGTTCAGCAAGTCAGCAAGGCTCATAAGAAGAACATCACCTTGTACTTGGAGAGTTGTGAGGTCACCACGTCAACCATGAAGAGCACCTCAGATCTAGTGAGTACCATCCTGTCCCGTGGTACTCCAGCCGAGATCCTCATTCTACAGCAGCAAGTAGGAGACATGTTACAGGAGCTCCTACTGCCATCTGATGGCGGTGATATCCCACAACACCTCAGCCTTCAACTACAGGCCAACAATGTTGTTGACAGAGAAGTGAATAAAGGGACAGGACTTGGGAAGATACAACAAAACAGACCATCGTGTGAACCATCGTGTGTAACACGGAAGGCACAGATCAAAAATAAACCACACTTGGTTAGTCAGTTTGATTCAAACTGTATCAATCCATATAGTCTTACCACCCCTGCCAAACTGAAGCAGGGATACCTGGTGGTGGATTACTATAACAACAAAGTGTGCAGATTCAGCTCAGATGGACAACTCCTTGTGCAGCAATCCAAGGCTGGTAACAGGTCACTGTGCAACCCTTTTGGTGTAGCAGTACTACCTGATGGCCCTATAGTAGTATCTGAATCTGACAACAACAAACTAATCTTCATGTCACAAGACTTAAACTTCACAAAAGAATATCCTGATATCAAATTTCCTGATGGTTTACATGTCACCAACTCCAATACCATCCTGGTTGCTCAGCCTACACTTAAACAAGTTAGCATTGTCAACACTCACGGTGCCACAGTGGATACCATAAAGCACAGTGGTCTTCAGGTGCCTTGGTATGTGGCAGTCCTTAATAATGGGAACATTGTTGTGTCCGATTCGCATGCTAAAGCAGTTTTCATCCTGAGTCCCGCTGGGTCACTGCTCCACACCTACACTGGCTCTGGACAGAATAAACTCTGTTGTCCATGTGGAGTCTGTGTTGACCAGTATGATACCATTTTCATTGCTGACCACCCCACCCACAAAATTCACATCATATCAAATGATGGTAAATTTGTCCAGTTCTTAGCAACTGGAGATGACGGACTGCAGCATCCACTTGGTTTAACCATCAACTGTGATGGTGATTTAGCAGTGTCTCAGCACGGAGGGATGGTCAAGGTGTTTAGGTACTTGGATTCAGACTAGATGTAAATAAATAAACTTGTCCTGAGATTGATGGATTATAAATGAAAATCTGTACTGTGGTGATCAATTATATATGGAAATCTGTACTGTGGTGACCGTAAATTGTTTTTGAAAAGAAACAAATGTGCTTTACTACTTATTGACCTACTTTCATTATAGTTGTGGGACATCCTCGTGATAACAGTATGAACATTCATCAAGGTGTTTCTAGTTGCAAGGTAGTATTCACTTTTTTTAGTTAAAATATGACTTGGGACAAGTATAGGCAGGATGTGAAACGTGCGTATATTTGTTTGTAAGGTACTGAGATTAAATGGTAAATTCAAAGTAATTGTTGCCATTAAATTACCAAATAATAAATCTCCAATGTGTAGATTTTACATTCTCACTAAGTTTTGCAAACGACAAAAAACATATTTCTTTTTATATCCAGTACATGCTGTAGTAAATTTAGAAAGGAATTCTGTTTTGTTCCAGATAATCACCTTTACTGGTAATATAATATATCTTACATTTCTAATCTTACGTAATTTTAAGTTATTACATATTTTATGTAAAAAAAGCTATATTTAAGCTACAATAAACGCATGGCGATTTTTGAATATCTTTTTTCTCATTTTACAATTTACGGACTTTAAACAAATCTGTTAAATACAGCAATTTTGTATCGAAAATGCTTATAAAAAGTATTCAAAAACACCACCTTTTTTATTTTCACTGTTAAGACAATAACCTACATCAGTAATTATAACAAATGGCAATTAACATTCAGCAATTTTGCGTGTGAGAAAACCTGGAAGGCAACCCTACCACGCTCTCAAATATAAACATACATTATGATGTTTTTTAAAAGGTACGCGAGGAAGTCACCTTCACAGTGACTCATCTTACACCCAAATCTTTACTCTGTCACAATTACATACAATGAAAAACTCATTGCATTTTCTCACAACAATATGATATACACCCAAACATTACCTTACGGTTCCTACAGGAAGGAGTTTGTTTCAAAGTACTAGTTTCACTGTCCTAGAATCATGGAGAATAAAAAATAACTCATCATCTAACCCCAAAAAAAGAACTGAAATTACTGTCACAAATGGAAAACTTTCAGCTGCGGAAGTGTTTTACTCAGTTTGAAAATTCTATCAACACTGCTTTTCTTTCTTTTTTCCTAAACTTATACTTTTGTAAAAAAAAAAACATTGCAATTTTCTGTATAGAACGATTAATTATTTTTGTGCGATTTTAGTTTGTCACTGTATATTTAAAAGAAGGATAAAATTGGCATGCTGACAACAAAAGAAGCATAAAATGAGCTATATTTATTTCTGGTGCACAATTATTTCAGAAAAGTCTACTTACACATGAAAACACTTTATGCTTCAGTCGTTAACAAAAACCCTGTTACCTATTGCACTAAGTGCTTGGACAAGAATAACCTTTTTTTTCTGACGATTTTCCGGGGAACATATGTTACGTTTTTGCCATGACGCAAACCCCCCCTGAGTTACAGTTTAAATTATTACTAAGAAGTCCTTATGTCAGCTTTTATTTACCATGAATGAATCAATACAACATATTTGGAACATGATACAAAAAATAAAAATGTATCACCAGAAAAACTAAGTACGAAAAAGCTAAAGAAAGAAAAAGCTTGCCGCTTGATTACCGATTAGACACTGAATAGATTCCCCGCGGGGATTACGCAGCAAACATTCAAGTTGACTGGCCATATTTGATCCTTGGATTTGTAAGTCAGCTCTTAGAGCGCAACAAGTTTAAAATCTGCAGACTAACAGATCTGCAGAATAAGTATGGCCGACTCACTTAAAAGTAATGACGCTAATCCCCTAAGGCTCTCCCTGTAGATCTACTGCCTCCACACGGGCTGTCGCTGCCTAGCAATTAAACCTCGGAGCCGAGATTTAATCTGTTAAAGGGCACTTGTGGAGGCGGAGAGACCATTGGGGAATTAAGCGGCTTGCTCTTAAATGGGGTCGGCCATATTTAGTAGGCGGATAAGTTAGTCCACTGATGATCTGTTCTTTATGCGCTGTTAGTTGCAAATTTTATCAGCATTTTTAGAGTACCTTTTATACACTCTTTCATTTGATAGGAGCATGCTGCATGCTACAGAAAGAAAAATGATTCAAAACTATCACTTGTACCCCCCCCCCCCATTTCCATGTCGTCAGAAAATGAAAAAACGGCCGTTTTTCATTTCCATTTAAAATAAATTTAAAATGAAAAATGGAAAAACGCGAATTGCCCTCGTTTTCTATGTTTTACCATAAAATGCAAAATACAACATCAACAGATCCCCGATGTGATAGAAAATATGAATATCGACCGTTTGCGTGCTTACTTATGTTTAAAAGGTGAAATAAATTATAAAATACCCTTTTATCTCTGTCTTTGAGGAAATGACAGGAAGTGTTCATTATTCAATTTTCGATTCAAATAGTAAAACGGATGTCGGTTCGTTTTTCTGATTTTCATTTTATGAATGAAAATGGAAAAACGGACGTGGATGTTTCGATATTCTATTTCTTCACAGGAGAAAGGGGCGTATTTTCTTATATTTTTCACTCTCTAGACACGAGAAATAAACGAAAAATAATCTCGTTTTCCCTTTTGAAAGGAAAAACAAAAATCGAGGTTGATGTTTTATTTCATTTTCACCATTTATCAAATGAAAATGAAGGCCGTTTTTTCATTTTCTGACGAAATAGAAATCACTTTGACGAAATGCAAATCACGGACCTCCAGAACAAAAAGTTGTTAGTGCCAGGCCACAAGGCGGTAGATATGGATCAAGTCCTGGGGGAAGCTGATTTGGGACACCTGAAGGCCAAATTCAGAGACGAAGGGGTAATTATAAGGCTTGTAGCCAGGCACTAACAACTTTTTGTTGACGGTGAACCGGGAACCAGCCTCGGATGCGTTAGTTCCTTTTCCCACCGTTTGTTATGAGACGACCCCTGGTATTGTGTCATCTCGCGCAAAACATGTCGGTATCTCAAAACGATAACTCGACATGCAAAATGATAAAACGACTTTGTAAAAAATTCTTTTCTCTCAAAATGATGAAAGTGTCGATCTCAAAAAGATGTTAGCACCTCGCTAAATTTTTTTTTCTGATCAAAATGATACTTTCATCTTTTTCGTACAAACGGCTTTCCATAAATATTCGGTAAAATTGTATTGAAATACAGATGATAGCATTTGAATTTTGAAACGTGAATTTTGTGTATTCAGGCCTACCCAACTACCAGACTCGGCACCTACGGATCCAGAATAAACCGGTATATCAGACCACACTACCCGTTTCAAGGTGTGTGTCAGATCGCATTACAGAGTATCAGCCACCACACCGATTTTACCTGGTGCGCGATGATCCTAAGCGGGGTTGGAAAGTAGTGCATCTCATCTAGAGTCATGCGCTGCTGCAATTTTCCCTGTTTATGCTAAAAATCTGACAATACCGCAATTTTTTAACATAAAATTTAGGTTCGAACATAGCCAATGATGTTTTGTAAATAAGAACTTGCAAACTTATATATTAATTTAGAAAAGTAGACCTAATTTTGATAGCGGAAGCATATTCTGTCGGGGTTAAATATTTTCATGGCTAGCGGGATGGACGAGATTGAGGGAGTCGTCTCACCATGTTGTTGTATTCATACGACTCCTACTTGACGAAAACGAGGCGCGATACCCGGATGACAGGTAGGCTTACAAAATTTGTGATGGGGTATGATACTCTGTAATGCGATCTGACACACACCTTGAAAACGGGTTGTATGGTCTGATATACCGGTTTATTCTGGATCCGAGTCTGGTAGTTGGGTAGGCCTGGTATTCCTTCATTTTATCTAGACTTGACACAAGTTTGCCCTTGGTTCTTGCAAGCATTGTGTGCTTTTCATTTTAGGCGCGTGTAGTATTTTGACATCTTCATTTATTCCATAAGATGCACAGATGTGTAAGGCGAGCGTTGATTTCCAGTAATGCAAATAAACCACGCCTAATAGTTTCTTATACGATAAAAAAAATCAAGTCACCACCCCAAGTCTCTAACCAAATTCATCTCCTGTTAAAATTGCACCTTTTGGTCGTAAATTGTCTTATTTGTCTGTCTCTCCAGTTCATAAAGGTCCGCTAAATAACGTAGTGCTGGGCGCGTTTTGCATAACCATCACTCTTACTTCTATGTAGTACAGATGTATACATGTAGCTACGAGCGCATTTGCACACTTACATGTATTAAATGAGACTGCTAATGTATATTTATAGCCAGAAAGAAAGAAGAAAAATATGTCCGCATATCATTTTTTCGGTAAATATGAAACGATGTCCTTTGGTATTTCTTTAAGTTACTGTATTCAGTTTGATACAACTATATAGTCATGTCTCCTTATTCGCTATTTGGCAGTGCCATGGAAGTTTTGGACATCACTGGGACGATGCAGGGGGAAAGATCAAGACAACACTGGTTCCAGCAAGACAAGGTCACCCCCAACACATCAAATGACTCCCTAGCCTGACTGAGAGAGCGATTTCAGGAGTAACTGATCACCAGAAAATGTGACATTGAGTGGGCACTGCATTCACCGGACTTGAGCCCCCGCAGATCAGGGAAGTAGCCAAGGAGGAATGTGTTTGAGTTGACAATCTTTTCGCGACGTTTTTATGAAAAGTGACTAAGATAACTGAAAAAGCCGGCAAATTTCTTGAAATTTAATGGACCTTTGTAGGATTTAATAAAATTTAAGAGATCTTTTTTTTTCTTTCTTTTTTTTTCTCTCTTTCTTTTTTTTATTTTTTATTTTTTTTATTTATTTTTTTTTATTGCTCACCAAATGTGCGCGTTTCTGATAAAATCAAGGCTAAAAAGAGAACCCCGGAATTCAGCATTAAAAGTTTTAAAAAAACCTAGAACGGGAAGCAGTATACAGATCGCTTTGAAAATCCCGTTAACAAATGTCTTGATCTACCGAGGAACCTAAAAACAAATAAAACGCTTTTCATAATACTACAATATTCCTACTTAATATTGGAGTACCTATACCTACCGAATTATTCTTTTGATGTTTTCCCTATGAAACCTGGCTCTAATATACAAAATTGCGATGGATTGCAGAGGCGGATTTAGGGGGTCAAGGGGTCCTGACCCCCCCCCCCCCCCCCCCTTCGCTTTCTGAAAAAAAACCCACACCAATGGTCCGCTCTTGAAATCAGAATTTTGACTGGTTGAATCAGTTCTTAACCGAACCAAATGGCACTGTTCGCACTCAGCGGGCCCCAAACCCCACGCCAAGGAGGGGGGGGGGGTCGACTTCGCATCCGCGGACCCCCCTTTAAGTTACATGTATCCTGGATCCGCCCCTGGATTGTTTTATAAAGTGGCGTGTAGGGTAGGCAGCTCTCGTTTTGAAGCGATTCCAACATAATCTTTCATTTTTACTTGCGTCACAGCGACTGTATGTGCCTCATGAAATTCGAAAAAAAATCTTAACCGATTTAATATTTGATCGGATTTTTATTATGGTACTCAAGTGTAGGATTAGGATAAACAGACAGGTATGGTAAGCTCTAAAAAGGCGCAAATTCCCTTAGAAAACGAATTTCACCCGGGTAAACTGCATTTTTCCTGGAACTAATTATACCAGTCCATTTTTGTTCTACATGTAAATCATCAATCCAAACTACCCAAGAGCACTTTCACTATTAGTTTGAGTTTCTTACGATGTCTTAAGATACTACGATCAGGATTTAACAGAAGTAGGCCTAAACGGATTCAAGTTCTGTCCGAATGCGGTGTCAAAAGAGGAAAACTGACTTCCCACGCCTGTGAAAAAAAAAGAAAGGAAAAGCAAGAGAGAGAGAGAGAGAGGAGCAAAGAGAATTGTTTTCATTTGGTGGTTAATCAGGTAGCTGGACCAAGCTGAAAAGACCTAATATACACACACGAGAGACATGTTTACTTGTACTTCAAACTTACTCTCAGTCACCTTGCGAGCTCTGCAGTATTAGGATAAACAGACAATGTTTTTAGATTTCTCGAAGATAAAAAACGAACAGAAAAAAGGGGAATCCACCAATCAATGACACATGTGACGCACTGCTCATTTTGAAATGGCGACAGCTTCAATGGGAGATGAAGACGGAAGTTTGAGGGCAAAAATTCTAGAAAATTTCACCAACTGCTCCATTTGCCTCAAAGATTTTGAAGATCCAACAGTTCTCCCCTGTCTCCACACCTACTGTAAACGATGTCTGGCCAGCTACATCCCCGAAAAGACACCAGGTATGATGTGTTGTCACAAAAGTTTAACCAGGAAGTATACAGTCTAGTTTCATGTTTGATAAGAAACATAGGGATCCGCCATATAGATAAACGTTTTAATAAATATTCGTCCCGATAGATACGTCTCTATTAATCTTTTTCATCTTTTCCGGAAATGGAAATTGCATAGTGGAAAAGGGAGTCCTTGCTATGTCGAAACACTCACAGCGGTGCTAAAAACCATGGCTGGGTTACAATAACAGTAAGCGAGATCGACACATGAGGTTTAATAAGTTCCCTACAAACCCGTTAGAATGAAAAATATGGTAGAAAGAAAGGAAAATAGCAGGTTTGGATCAACAGCAGGACACCGCATTTGCGCCGAACATTTCGAAGGGGGGAAGAAAAACTATAATATTAGGAGATCAACGGTGCTTAAATAAAAAACAGAAATGTTTAGTTAATCAACGAATATAACGAACTATCGGCAAATAGAACTCAGGGGTAAACAATTCGAGAAAAAAAAACATTATAAAGATCTGAAGAAAAAATTGAATAATAGGGGCCTAAAAAGAAAGAAAAGACTTTAAGCATGAGTTTATGGAAAAAGAAACTAAAAGCTGTGAAGTTTTACACGGGGATTCTACTTACAAAAAATTCAAGAACTTTCACGACTTCTTGTGTAAAAACAAAGAGAGGGTTTGAGAAGTTTTGTGTGTAATATCCTTTTTTTGTGTGTGTTTTATTGATAAGTGATAATTTTAAATTAAGTATCACAGGTTTTAGTCTCTCATAACCCTTAGTTGGGTGGGTTTTATTTTTTTAACGTGAGACGTTAATAAAATTATTATAATTATTATTATGTATCCAGTGCCGTATTACTGATTTGTACAAACAGGGCTCATTTTATCAAGATCAACAGAGACATACGAAGAAGAAAGTACATCGGTTCGTTGTTAAACGCATTATCGGCAAAAAAAAAAGTTATTTATTTCTGAACTCAATGACAAGATAATTGGAAAATTCAATAGACATATATTGTTATTTACAAAAAATGCAGAAAAGCCTTTCTGTAAGCTACACGTGCATAATACATGTATGGTAAAGACAAAATGGATAATAAAAATAATCTAACGACGTATTTGTAAAGTAATACAAATATGCTTAGTATTAAAGTAGGCCTACGGATTTTTGATATCTTAGATTCGTTGAAAAGTATGAAATTTATGGAATACACTTTATTTGAATGATTTTATTGTCTATGATTGAAAACAATGAAAATACGCATGAAAACATTAAAAAATCAAATAATTTGGCCTCTTGCTATAATTTTTGGTTTGGTCTGACGGTTTTGTTTCAGTCTGACAAAATTTTCATACTTGTCAGACCGAAAGTCCGACATTTTTTACCTGTCGTAAATTTTGTACATATACTAGTGTAAGACACGGTAAACTGTGTAATTATCGTCTGGGAAGGAGTCGAAAATTCCTGTCTTACCTAATTAACACTTAAAATTAGAAGCTTTTAATTACAGAGGAAAGATCGTAGTCGTGGCCGCCCCCCTTACCGAACAATTGAACAAGTAACACCTGATTCCTTATCAGGTACCAAATGATTTAATCAGTTCACCGACGAACAATCTGCGTGTCAGTTTTACCTGTATACACAGTAGGTAGAGCAATGCAGGGAATCTTTTCATTTTATTATTTCAAAAATCTCTTAAGACATCCTTCAAACAAGACATAAAAATCGTAATGAATTGAAACTGCCGGTACATGTACACATGATAGTAATTGTGATATCGCCACAGCAAGACGTAGGCCTACGCACCTGTCCACACTCTAGAAAGCTGTGTACGAGTCTACTGGCCATTTTGATTTTATAAAAAAAATATAACGTGTCTCTTTCGAATATTTTTATTATCGGAAGCATTTAAAAGAACTCTGAAGCTATAGTTCGTCATCACTATTTAAAGTGCAGCCAAGGTTCGGACGCTTAGATGAAGTCTAGTTGTACAGCGCATTGCATTTAAACTGAGAAATAAAACATTTAGTTGCACGATTCTCCGTCCAAATAGTTGTTTTCTTGCCTACAGTTGACGCATTTCTGTGCTTCAGCCACCTTTTTAGTTTGACACAAAGCAGTGCTTTGTGACACAAACCTTTTTATATGCGCACCTTGTACATCACCTACACCTAGCATTGCCATGCTGGAAACAGCAGAGGACTACAATGACCCCTGTGGCGCGCGGTTCCTGTCACGCGCACTTCTTGTTTCAGCAAAAGATGAAAAGGGTTAATACATACACTTCTCAATAGATTTACGTCTCGTTAAATTTACGTTCCGATAGATCCACCAACAGATTCCTTTAAACCCGCGTGTCTTTAGATCCAGGTACCGCTAGATCCATCTGATGGCATGGTAATCGGCTAAAATGCCGATATATATCAACTTGAGATACAGGTATGAGGCTTTCGAGTGATAGTCTGACTGCGAGTACAGACCCACTTAGTGATCTGACTTAATTACAGCCCGATATTTATTACTTATTATTCATTAGGTATGGTAAGCTCTAAAAAAAAAGGCGCAAATTCCCTTAGAAAACTAATTTCACCCGGGTAAACTGCATTTTTCCTGGAACTAATTATACCAGTCCATTTTTGTTCTAAATAACCAATCCGAACTATCCAAGAGCACTTTTACTATTAGTTTGAGTGTCTTACGATGTCTTAAGATACTATGATCAGAATTCAACAGAAGTAGGCCTAAACGGATTCGAGTTCAGTCCGAATGCGGTGTCAAATGAGGAAAACTGACTTCCCACGCCTGTGAAAAAAAAAAGAAAGGAAAAGCGAGAGAGAGATGAGCAAAGAGAATTGTTTTCATTTGGTGGTTAATCAGGTAGCTGGACCAAGCTGAAAAGACCTAAAATACACACACGAGAGACATGTTTACTTGTACATCAAATTTACTCTCAGTCACCTTGCGAGCTCTGCAACTTTGGGAACAACGCAGTAATATGGTCGGTAAAACAACCCAGAGTATGCAGGCATAAACCCAACGCCTGTATTGACGTTTTTTTATGTAGATATAAATTTACGCCTATTTTCGTTTGTATATTTGGGTATAATTGTCAACCATACAGTAATGGTTTCTATCAAGTATACAAAACAGTTATCAAGCAGAATCATTCATGCAAATGCCCACATAAATTACACACAGTATAAAACGAAACAAAATAAGGGTTTACTTGTAAAA